AAAATTAAAAAAGAAAAAAAGAGAAAAAAAGAAGGGAGGGAAAAAAAAAAAAAAATAAAACGATAGATTCGAGGATGAGATCGAAAGAATCAACGTATCATTATCGATTATACTCGTTGTATTCCACCGTTTCGCTCAAACATCATAAAAATGTCCCGGTGTGTACAGTTTAAACAAGCAAAGTCAATTTTTATCTTTCGATCCGTTCGTTCGGTGGAAATAACGGCCGCCACAGATACACGTTTCTCCATTTTTCCCTTCCTTTTACCCATTCTCTCTCTCTTTCTCTCTCTCTTTCTCTCTATCTATATCTCTCTATATATATATATCTCTCTCTCTATTTCACTCGCTCTCCCCCTCCTCCCGTTTCGATGTATGGAGTTTGTACACGGCAATTTAATAAATGATCAAATATTATATTAATTTAATGTTTTCAAGCCGGCGCTCGCGTTGCGTGTTTGCGCGGGCGCGCACAAAATTGATATTTTCTTTCTTCTACAATTTCCACGACAAACAGCCGCCGTAGAATCCCCGTCAACAACGGCAAACAACAAATTAATTCGTTGTTTAAACAGTTGCAGAGGTCGGCTGTTTGTCGCTGGCAAACGCGTTTAACGCCACCGACAAGGAACGATCCTGCTAAATTCGAAAGGAACTTTCTTAATACTTTAAAAACCCCGATTCCGTATATTTTCCCGCGTGTATATATATATATATATCGTTCGAATGATCCGAGAAGTATTTCGAATAAATCGAAAAAAATCGAAAACTCCCCTCCTCCCCCTTTTGATACTGCTAGTCTCTATTTCGACGCATACGTGTATAATACGGAGGAGGGGGGGGATTCTACAGTTTATATTTTTGATTTATTTCCTGTCACGAAAAAAAAAAAAAAAAAAGAGAGAGAGAAATCGCATGGAAAAATCTTTCGAAAATTTTCTAGTTTTGATTCGTTCGGCAAACGGGGATCATGTAAGGATCATCGATGTAATCCCCTTGTGCAACGACAGCGCGTTTAAAAAATGTCCCAACACGCGACGGGATTTTTTTCAACACGGTTGATTTTTCGAATCGCAATTTATTTGTCCTCCCCCGCGTCAGAGTTAAACGAACGAACGAACGAACGAACGAACGAATGGCGTCTCTACATCTTGGAGTCTTTTTTTCTTTTTTTTTTTAGAGGCATCACTTTTTTATTATCTCTTGTTCCGCACAGTAGCCCTGTTGTACAGTAGTAGTCCTGTCTCGGTAGTAGACGTAGCCCACGCAAGACCAACCGCCGAAGGAGGGTGGACACTCGCGAGTGATCGGCTTTGGTCGTGTGTACTTTTTTTTTTTTTTTTTTCTGTTCTTCTAGCCGGCAGCATGGCTTTCAGCTGATCTCACTGTTGCTTTTGCCGCTTCTAAAGAGAGCATTACAGAGATTTGTTTGGGCCGAGTAGATGGATGATGGGGGAGCGAAGGCATGTAACGTGACTTGACTCGTCATTTGTCAGACTGGAGAAGCTGCTGGACATTCTGCATAATAAGATGATCGGTGCCACCGACCAGGAAGCCGTTTCGGGCATGGCTAACGTGAAACGTGCAAGGAACGTCTCCTCCTCGTCCGGGGAGGACGAAGAGGGGGAGGAAGAGGAGGACGACGATGACGATGATGGGGAGAAGAGGAGGAATCGCGGAGCAGTGGAGGACGAAGAGGAGGACGATGGTAACGTGGATGAGGATAACGGGGTGACGGCATTCAGGGAGAAGCTTCCCGAATGGATGTCGATGATCGACAGTGGTATCAAACTCTCTGGACCTGTTACCGATCTTTAGACTAGGATTTTCGCCATTTTCCCACATTTTGAAATCGAAACGAAGTAAAACAAAGGAAAAAGAAAAAGAAACGATTCGAAAATGGTTTTGACAACAATTTCGAAATGTTTGCATTCGATCGAGAGAGGAGGGAAGAAATTGTTCGATGGAGAAATTTTATTAAATTAGTTAAAAATGACGGCGGAGGAATCGTTCGAGCACGAAGAGAAATAGCGAGAGTGATGAGCGATGATATGAAAATGATCGAGACCATGACATTAGATTAATTAGATTAATTAATTCTTCCAAGATTAAGTCAAATTTTTCACGTAGAAGAAATATCGTTACGATCAAATTTTGTAGGTGTGTATCGCTTAAATACGTCATATCAAAGAAAAAAGAAAGAAAAAATATTTTCGAGATATTTGAGAAAGTTTGACAATCGAAGAAAGAGTAATTAATCTTTCTAGAAATTTCTTCGATGAGTAACAATATCCTGATTCCGTGGAATGTTAACGTAATTTTGCTTCTCTTTAAAAATTATATATACATATATAGTTTGTAACAAAATTTTCAAACAATTTTTACAATCGTTCTTCTGGATCTAACGGATGCTTGATTTTAGATAGTTATCGCAACAAAATGATACTAAAATTTCCATAGTATATTTATTCTATAGAAATTTAGAATATTATAGAAATTTAAGTACATATCTTCGTACAGGGTTGATATTTTAACGTTTCTTTTATTAAGGATTAGACAATGGGGTGTATCGACATTGGAAATTCATAATTCCCTTGTCAATAATTCCCTTTTTAATTTTATCATTTTATTTACATTAAATTATTCATGTTAAATTTACTTCGTCGTTTTTAAATTTAATCGAAGATATCAGGCAACACGAGAGCAATTCCTCGAAAGAGATCATTGAAGAGCGATCGATCGAAGAATGTAGCTCGATAGCTCGATAACCGATTTCCTAACTGTGATCGTTTATTCGTCCCAATTTTTTGAATCCGCACGGTTCCTTAAAATTCTTATTATGCCGTCTCGCGTGGCTGTCCAGTTTGCTAGATTCGTTAAAATGAATTCTCGTCGATAAATGCACACTTTCGCTTCGTCGTATTAGTCCTTGTTGTATTCCTTGCGTTTAGATTAGAACTTTCGCAATGGAGCGAAAAGTGATCGATAAGTTGGCGTGTGTTCTCGCTCGCTGATCGATCATCAGCGGCGCTAGTTTCCCTGAGAACGAACTTGATGTAAATTGGGTTAACGCGTACAACGGATCTTCTTTTTTCGTTCCGTTAATGTTAAATATTGTTTTATTTGAAAATGGATCTTTATTCTATATATACACACACACACACATATATATATATATTTTCAATCGTCCCTAGAGTTTAATCAATTTGTAGATTTCATGATAAATCAAGTATTATTTGAGATTACGTTATTTCATTTTGTGTACATTATCATTTGTTAAAAGCTGATCTTTTTCTTCCCGTTATATTCGTTAATATGTTTTCTTTTCCCCTAGATTTTTTTTACCAGAATTGCTAACCGTGAACTCTTCGTTAGAAATTTTCCAGATCGTTTCTGAACGAACGTTGTTCAAATAATATAATTAATATAATTAATAATTTTTGTATAGGTTCTTTTTTTTCCCCCACCCCCTCTGAAAACGTAATTGATAGTTCGTAATAAGGGAAAGATATATTTTTTTATGAAGTAATAAGTAGATTGTACATATATATATATATATATATAGTATAATTGCGATACTTGAAAATTGTGAATTTTATCACAATCTTATCCTTCTTTTCTTATTTTTCTAATCGATTAATTCTTCTTATCTCACTATGCTATATTATATATTGCTCCGAGCAAAGGGATTAAACGATCGTTTTCCAATTTTTATTTACTGAGTAATCTTCTAAAACGGAAATTAATAATAGATAGATTCGTAGATTAATCAATTAGCAATGTATTCCACGATCTTTTATATTATCTATCTATATAATTAAACGATATGTATACATATAAAAATATATATATATATATGCACATACACACATACATACATAAACAGACACATACATACATATTATGCACGTAAAATAGTTTAAGTTGAGAGTTCAATTAGCTCTTCATAAAAGAGGTATTTTCGTAAACGAAGTGACGTTATTTTCATCCCTTTCATTCAGTATATATTTTCGTGAAATTTACTTTCTATTTTTCGATAATTCGTCTACGAAAGGACCTGTTCTTTGTGAAGAGTCAAGGAACAATTGCGACGTTGAAACAATTTCCACGTTCGAAATAATTAAAAAATCATTCGATCTGTTAATGACATTGTAGCGAATTTATTTATTTTTTTTTTTTCTTAGGAAAAAAAGGAATCGAAAAATCTTTCATCGTTTCGATCTGCTCGCTTTCGAAATAAGAGTAATCGAAGTAGAAACTTTAATCGTTCTTATTTCGAATAGAAAAAGACTTTTCGATTTATTATATTTTTTCTAAAGAATCTAATACAATTTGTTTCATCAATTCTGAACAAAAAAAAATAAGAATTCGATGAAATGATAGTAGTCAGATTTTCCAACGTCTGCTTGTATTTAACTCGATCGAGGTTTTCTAATTATTTTGAGCAAACTTATTTTGTGCAACGAGATATTGTAAATAATTAAATATTACCCATTTACTTTAATATATCTTTTCGAATGGGCACACACAAAGTATGAAACGCTACGCGTTTTAAGATATTCACTCGAATCTTAAATGACACGGCATATTCTATTTTTGTAAAAGAGACTTGGTAATGTGAAAAATGTGTACGACGAAACGCATATTGTGATTCATAGATTCGTGGAAATTTATCAAAAATTCGTGCTACTTAACGAATCGAAAATGTAGAAACGAATTCGTAATTCGGGGTATCATTGGCTTGCCGATTCAGTGATGTGTTATGTTCGAGCGAAATACGATCATTGTATGTGTGAATTGTTATTAATTAATTTAATCGTTAACTAATCGAATCACGATCGATGATTAGTACGTTTTTTTATTTTTTTTTTTTTTCACTTTATTCTCTTTTCTGTATCGCGTGCATTACGTTGCATTAATTTATAGAAATTAAGCGATACGCAAAAATTTAATCGGCAGGCGATTTAATTGATAGCCGATTTATTATTCAACCTTTTTTTTTTTTTTTGTTATTTTTATTACTCGAAATTGATAGCCGATCGTATTCAAATTCGTTCGAATTCGATTTCCACCGTGATAATTGATGTTTTTTCCGGCGAAATCGCCATTTGAATTTCATCGATTCGATGAACAATTCTTTAACCAAACGCTGTTTTACGCTATTTTATCGTTCTTCGTCATTTTGAAGTATCGTTTTTTTTTTTTTTGTTTTTTTTTTATTTAGAGTAATTTTAATCCCATTTTTTGGGAAACTAATTGTTCGCGCCAAGGCTTGCTGCGTTTTTCAGGATTAATTTAAGCACGATTAATTCTCCGTAATCCAGAGTGTCGCTAAAATATTTTTCATTAAAAAGTAAAAAGAAATAATGATAATCATAATATTCAATATCGTTCGAAAAATTCGTAACTCGTTAACAAATGATCGAGTGAAATAAAAATTAACATTTGTTCATTGCGCGATAATTCAGTAATAAGTGTAAAAAAAATTTAAATTGGAAAAAGAATGGAAACTTGTCGAACAAATGGATTACAGAGGAGTAATGGTGCGATAAAGGAATGACGATACTTTGTAATAGAAAATAATTATAACACTTAAATAGAGTACTTAACGACCGCACGAAACAACGTAATTACGAGTTTTTACGACGTTATTAATTTGTAAAATCGTGTCCATAGAGTGCACGATTGAAACGCACCGCGCAATCATCCAATTATTCCATCGATCTAATCCTCTCGAAG